TAGAACTATTAGCCTTTTGGCAGATGATGATGTGTGTGAGGGTTACTACCGTTCCCAACATTTTCCAACCCGTTTGGCCACTGGTCACACTGACCGGAGCATACTAGCAGTTATTATCGGCAACCGTAAGTTTTCCAACGGCAGAATCATCCCTGATCATAACCCAACAAAATGGCTTGGGGGTCTTCTTCCACGTCAACCAGGCAACAACAGGTCCATGGAGGAAATGTGGCCACAAGGCAATGAATTCTAGGAGACGGGATGCTCTGACCCTCAGACACTTTTGCTCAAGTCCGAGGCATGAGGAGGGGCCTCCTTAAGCCTTCCTCCCAAGGTCTGAACAGCAATACTGGCCAGCATCCTTGTTACTGGGAAGTGTACCAGTTTCCCCTCTATTTTCCTCCTTCTTGAAAGCCAGCATCCTTGTTACTGGGAAGTGTACCGGTTTCCCCTCTATTTTCCTCCTTCTTCTTGAATGCCCTATTAGAATATACAGTTAAGAGTTGCTACCTTCTCTGCACATGCCCTTTACAAGTATGTATATAATAAGCCCGAAGATAAGGGTGGGATCCAATTCTATTAGAATATACAGTTAAGAGTTGCTACGTTCTCTGCACGTGCCCTTTACAAGTACTGTATGTATATAATAAGCCCAAAGATAAGGGTGGGATCCAATGGTGAATTAGATCACAATTTGGCCCCTTTGCAGAGTGGACCAATGTGATCTCTTTCCCAGCGATCACATGACTCACAGGGAACTGCGCTCCAGCCTGGCCCCAATTCGTGCCCAATCTCGACCTTTTTGGTCCAGTGGTAGAGCTGCTACTTTTGAGGGCCAGGCGAGAGAGATACTCTGGCAGACAGGAAGGTCACTTTAGAGGAGATTGCTCCTGTGAAAACAATCCATGACGCACCCACCTTCATAGCCGTCTGGTTGCACCCGAAGTGGGTGCAGCTTTTCTCAACACAGAACTGTATTGATAAGGCAAACGTCAGTTGGCACATCTTTCTCTACTCAGCTGCTGTTAAAGCCCCCACAAAGGCCACCCCTACCAATCCATAAAAAGCAGCCGTTCATTTATCTATTAATTCATATTCTGTTTTCCTACTGAGAGTGCCCAAAGCATCTCACAACATATCAAAGAACAAATAATAGAGAATAGCTAATCAGAAATGGTAGAGTCTATTACAAATACCGTAACCTTTACCACCGACACATAATAAAACACCGAACAATACTATGTGAAGTACAAATAAACAAATGTGCTCCAGCAGATTAAACTAAACAGGGAAGAGAAAGGAAAGCCAGAGACAGATATGAAGATAGTCAAGACAACGGTGAATCTATTGTCATTCTACACAAAGATAAGAAGAGGACCGCCACTATCTAGCTCCAGTTCTTTGGTTAGGTAGGCACAATGTTCACTTTTGGCAACTCTCCTGCCAGCATTCACGTGGGACTCTGCCCTTAATCTCTTTTTCATCTCTCATCTAAACAAGCCAAGAGAGGCCAGCTCTCCTTCAAGCCCCACGTTCCTGAGATAAGATACATACATGAGTTCCAGGGCACATCCAAAGAATTACGTATCAGTCAGGGATTCTTAGCTCTTACATCTGTTAAATCACAGTTCTCCCTACAATCTTACATATGGACTAGACTCTGGGTACCGAACAATTGCTTCTTGATTGTACAAGGGGACACTGCTCTCCAAAGGTGGACTCTTATCTGCTTATCTCTTGGTGTAAAGGTTGTTTGTAATTGTCTCTATTGCACTAACTACAGATGGAACATTGACTATATCCAGGTTGTAGAGGTTCATCCAGGTTCTTTGGAACTGAGCAGCTTTAAACTTTTCAGGCATTATTGTTCAGAAACATATGCACATGTTTTTCTGACAAACAGATTTCCCAATTTCTCTTACACTATTGTAGAGAATTTTTTTTGTCCTGGCCAACCTAAATCCCAGCCCTCCAGGTGGGGTAATGCAAACTCGGAGCGGCGGGCCTTTTCAATTTGGCCAAAAGGAAATGACTCAAAGCCAAGTCATGCAAGCAGCAACGGCTATGGCTAACTGTCAGTAGCGCAAGTCGGGATTTGCTTGAGCCTGTCTCTTTTTTTCATATTTTTGGCGAGAAAGCAGGGCCTTCCACCTGTGCAACTGTAGGAAAACTTTTGATTTTGAACAAGGAGTGTGGCATTGAAAGGCTGCCGATCATGTATAGTTCCTGTGGGTGTGTCACAGAACAATTGATATCTGCTGGATCATCCAAGCAGTGACAGGGATGGGGGTGGGGAACAGAAAAGGCCTGAACTGACCTCCTTCCCTTCTTTCTAAAGGTTCAAACCTCCCCGTTCCTCCTGGTAGCTCAGGGTGGCTTTATCTATATGGCGTCCACACACAGCCATTGCTGGACAATGGCTGAGATCTAGTAGTAGATCGCAACAAGAGTAGGCCCACTGAATCAATGGAATTTGCAAAGGTGGCAAGGCACCAAATCCACCCTGATTCAGTGGGCCTCCTCTGCTCGTGGCTTACTGCCTCTGTGTGCAGGAGGGGTGGTTGGGCATTGTTCGTTTTCTACGTTTCATTTTGACATTTTGTGCCACCGAGAGTGGCCTTGGCAGCTCAATGGGTGGGTTTTTGTTTTTTTTAAAAAATCAAATAAATATTTGGGTCATCAGGGCCAAAGGAGCAGAATGGAGAATTCAGGAGTGCACCAATGAATATCAAAAGGTTGTTATAACCAGGTTATCTGCATTTTGTCCCAGAGAAGGACTGCTTCACGACTTTTGTACAGAGATAGAAAACAACATATTATGTTTATCACCTAATGCGTTATTTTCCTCCTACTTCCCTGCAGAACTAAAGAGGCACCTGTTAAATAAGGTTCAAATCACAAGCAACCATGAAGAATTTCAGTGCTGCCATCCCATGACAACACCAAGGGAGCCCAACAGTTTAAATTAGATCCATATCAGCTTGAGGAGAAGCAACTTATTAATATGCATGAAAAACAGGTTTCCCAGGCTGCTATATTCTGCAGCCCATACTACTTCTTATACTTATACTTATACTTATACTTATACTACTACTTATACTTATACTTATACTTATACTTATACTTATACTTATACTACTTCTTCTTCTTCATCTTCATCTTCATCTTCATCTTCATCTTTTATTATTACTGTTGTTGTTGTTGTTATTGTTGTTGTCGTTAATCTGCATTTCTTCTATGAACACAGCCCAAGGAATATTGGCTAGGGTGTGGGGCTATTCCTATCGTATTATAAAATGAGTAGTACTTTTGACCCTCTGCAGATTGCTTACTAAAGAGCCAGACTTGACCCAGAAGCGCTGAGAGAAAGGGTTCCACCCAGGTAACACAGAGCCGATCTTGGCTTCTCCCCTCATTGGGATTTAGAGAATGCAGTATTTCTAGACATTCCCTGTTGCATGTCTAAGGGAACAGGAGCCAAGGGTCTTAAGTATCTGATAAGTGGTTTTGCCCTTTCAGGCTGGGTGGGAAACTTCTGTTGAGCAGAAAAGAGCTGTACATCTTACGCACCTCGATTTGGAGTGGCTGAATCAATCTCTGTGCGTGTGTGTCTGTGTGTAAAAGAGAAAGAGGAAGGAGGGAGGGGTGCAATTTACCACCTTTATCAATTTTCATTGCTAGCACTGAAGCATATCTTTTAACAAAGACCATTTTCAATGATGAGATTAACATATGAATAGGTGTATAATTATACCCCCCCCAATCAAACTCTGGGACGTAACTGACAGCTGGTGGAGAGCAGGAAGGTTAGGGAAGGTGCCTCGGTCTGCATTTATAATGAGGAATTGCCTACTTTCTGAGTGCTGGTCTCTTGGAGTCTTGTGTATGGCTCCTACTTCCCCCACCGCCTCCCCTGAGCACAACTGGGCCTGTCATTGTACAGGGAACAATAGCAAGGAAGCAACCCCGGGCTCCAGAACTGACAACACCCTGCTGCAATTAATAAAGGGACAGGGAAGTGAATTAGCCCCAGACCACGGACAATCCTTCTCTCTCTGTCTCTCCTGCTTGGAGGAAAGAGAGAGAGAGAGAGGATGGGGAGACTTGCTGCCTTCGTCTGGTAAAGAGCAGAAGCTGGATCAGCCACTGGCAACCTTCGAAAGCCAAGGAAAAAGGGGGGTGTGCGTGTCCTCTCTCTCTCTCTCTCTCTCTCTCTCTCTCTCTCTCTCTCTTCCCTGTTCTTGAGGCTAAGGTGTCACCTAGAGGCAATGTGAGGGTTTTCTTAAATCGCTTTGCTTGTGCACAGCATCTTAATCTGAAGTGAGATAAAAACATATTGTTGAAAAACGTAGCGTTGGCATGATGACTGGCACCATTCCCCAGCCAGTACCGCCGGCCATACTGGGATTGGCAGGCTGTACAGGGGTGCTGGGAGGCATAACCTTTGTAGGCTCTGGTCTGAAGCCCCAATGGCTCCTGGATAGACTTACACAGGGCCCGGCCCTTCCCTGCCTTCCCGCTTGGAATCAAAAAGGCGTAGCGCGCAAGGAAAAAAAAGGGATGGTGAAGGAGGAGGAAAAGATGCGCGGATCCCTAACCCCGCCGGCCGGGCGCTGGAGAGCCTCGGAAACGGCCGGCGAAACGGCGGGGCTCTTCCCAAGCTCCCCGAGACGAGGCCAGCCGACCTTGCGGGCCTCCAGGACGCCCAAAGCCAAGCGGGCCGTGGGACGGGG